ATAAGTTGGAGAAATATAAGCTGAATCATAAATGTCACAATGCGAGTTTGAGCATTTTGTAACTATATGAGTAAGTTACAAAGACTTTTTTAGGCTGCTGCTCAGTGCACTTTAAGAATATATTTTTTTAGAGATAAACTAAATTTTGTTGTTGCTGATTAGCGCTAGTAAACATGCACAGCCCTTTTCGTTAGTCTTATAACATTCAAAGGCTCTCTAAGAGTTCAAGTTCTTATTTGTATACATATCTATATTATGTTTTCACTAAGCTGAATGAATACATCGAAGTAACCTCTCTGAAAAGTCTGCAGTATATTGCAATTTTTAAGCTTAATGACTTTCTAAATCATTAAGCTTTAGAAAGTCAAACATTTGTAAAATTTTTGTAACATGTATGACAATAATCTCATGTACCTATGATGATCTGTCTAGAATAATATGATATAATATAATCGAAAGTGGTGAAAAATGCTGACACCAACCCACAAAATAGATATAAGATAGTTCAATAAGAAATAATTGTAAGAGTTATTGTGATAAAAGGATTTTCCACTGATATCGTAATGGAACGTTGAAGTGCATAACGACATGATACAGAAGAATACCCCCGCCACAGCAAACCTGCAGACTAAGCGAATTTTCATTTGCCTGATTGGATTTACACTAAAATGTCTCCTTAAAAATAATAAATAAAATTAGTTTAACAAGTACTTAGGTTTGCTGCTTCAGGGAGGGTAAAACTGTTTTTATTATTTTTTTTGTAAAATGTTAATAGTTAGTAAGAAATAAAAACATTTACCAAATTTGAACAAAATATAATCATAAACAAGCAAACTACAACAGTTTATTTATTCTCCATAAGAATAACATGGGAATTTTAAATTTACAATTTTTTGGAATTTTCTCCGTAACCATTAGGCACATAACAACGCTTCAATATAGTAAATTATTTGTTTTTTTAAGCTCTACAAAATGGTTTGGAAAGAAATTGCAAAATTTTATGTTTTTTGGGTCAAAAATGGGAAAAACTCATTTTTACCCCATAAAACCCCCCATAAACCCCCGTTCCCATGGTCCGATCATGCTGGTTCGCGAACTCGTTTGAATAAACGTAGGTTTACACGTTTGTACCAAATTTCATCAAAATCGGATCATTTTTGCTCGAGTTATCGCGCTAACGGACACATATATATATATATATATAAAATATATATATATAAATATATATAAGAAGAATATATATATATATATTATATATATATGAATTTGAACGGATGGTGTTTTTGGCCTCTAGGGACCTCAAAACGAAAAAGAAATCGGTCCCGGGTCCAGGTCTTACCATGAGTACTACGGTAATAGTTACTTCCCTATAGGGAAATTCGCTAAAATCAATTTTGAAATCAGAAAATAACATTGCAAATACTTCTTTTGGATAATTCAGTAACTCCCAATAAATGTGTGTTGTTCAAATTACAATATTTAAAAATTAACAGCTGTTTCATTAAAAAGTATTATCCACATGGCCAAAATGTAAACAAATCTGTGGAGGGATCTTTAAAGGCTTCTGGGGCAGAGCCCTAAGGGAATTTACTTCGTTTTCTTTTGATAAATCATCTACAGACCAAGACCTTTCTTTTGACACCTCTTCCATGTTTCTACGCCCAGCCGTTCTCTCAAATTAGTAGAGACAAAATTTATAATTAAATATTTAGATTCCCCCATGTTAATCTTATGGGAGAAAATCCAACTTTGATAGAAGATCCTGCCCAAACTAATAAATATTTCAAAAAACGAAAAAGACTTTGCAAAACTATAGATCAGGGCAATTATTTTGACACTTTAATCATCAAAATCGGTGCAAAAATGAGGGAGGACTTCTGTTTACAAAAATCGGCTTAGTGTATCATATACATATAGATATGTGTATATAGATATATTGTGTACTACACAGTTCAAAGGGGTTTCATGTTGTTTTTTCTGAAAGGTGAAAAGGTGGTTTCAAATTAAATCACATGTAAATGTTTATGTTAATAGTGTTTTGTTTACACAAATGTTGTGTTTGTCGTTCGCAAACATAATATTTAACTTTAAAATGTAGTTTTCCCTTACCATAAAGGATGTGCGTTATCACTAAATTTGCAATTTACTACTATAGTTATAAAACACTTGCGTATAGTTGAGTTTCACAGTACATACAATCATTTTAAGTTTAAGTTTTTGCCATAAAATGTTACGTCATGTTAGAAAATTTTGTTTCTGACATGAACAACTAAATCTAAAATCAGTTGAATTGGCTCAACGGAAGAAAATCAAAACTTCATCTAGAAAATAAATAATTACTGTACAAAACTATATTGAAACTAATATGGACATACGGTGTGCAACTTTGGTGCTCGGTGAGTAGTTAAAATATCGAAATTATAGAAAGATGACAATCAAAAATGCTGAGTAAGATAGCTAATGCACCTTGGTATGTAACCAACGGTATGGAACGCTACATGAATACCTTTAATTGCCAACGGTTATGGACAAAATCGTTCCCTTAAGTGAAAGATACATTATAAAATTAGAATGTCATCAAAATCTTTTGGTGTTGAACTTACTAAACAACATGGATGCAATATACACACTAAAGAGGTCATAAATGTTTTATTGAAGGATTTGCTGTTGACTTATCAGCTAATTTTGATCCTCAAAAGTTACTTTTGAGGATTCAGAGGCAAATCGTAATGTCAAGAGATATGTGCGAAGAGACAAAAGAAGATGGGTTGATGAACTGGCTCAGGAGCAGAAGAAGCTGCTAGACAAGGTAATAGCAAAAAGCTTTACGACATCACAAGGAAACTGGCAAAGAAGAACTTCGCTACAGAAAAACCAGTAAGAAGTAAGAGTGGTGAAATGCTGACAAACATTGAAGACCAGTTGAATAGATGGCAGGAACACTTCAGCGAACTACTGATAGAGCAGAAGCACAGGAAGAGGCTTTGCCAACTACCTCACCCTGTGCAGGTGGACCATGGTATAAATTTAGAAATCCCCTCAATTGAAGAAATCAAAGATGCGATCAAAAGCATGAAAAATGGCAAAGCCCCTGGTTTAGACAACTGCGGTCGAGATCCTAAAAGCTGGTGATGGAGCCGCGGACTTACTTCATCCACTACTTCAACAGATTTGGCAAGAGGAGAGAACTCCAAAGGAATGGAAGAAGGGTATAGTTGTCAAAATACCAAAGAGAGGGGATGTAACGCTCTGTAACAATTGGAAAGGTATTACCCTTTTGTCAGTCCCAAGCAAAGTGCTGGCCAGAATAATCCTAAACCGGATAAAAGGTTCCATTGAACTGAAACTGAGGAAAGAACAGGCAGGTTTCCGGGAAGCAAGAAGTTGTGTGGATTTAATTAGTACTCTCCGAATCCTACTTGAACAGAGCAAATAATTTCAAAGTACTCTTTACCTGGCATTTGTAGATTTTGAGAAGGCCTTTGACACAGTGAAACACCAGGTGCTGTGGCATGTTCTACAAGAATATGGGATACCCCCTAAAATCATAAATATCATCAAGGCCATGTACGATGATTTCCAGTGTCAGGTTTCGCACCAAGGAAAGTTGACAGGAGCAATCCCAGTTAAAATAGGTGTTCGCCAGGGCTGAATTTTATCACCAATACTGTTCCTTTTGGTGCTGGACTCAGTTATGAGGAGAGTAACAAATAATAGAAGGCGGGGAGTGCAGTGGGGACTGAGGGAGCGGCTGGAGGACCTTGACTTTGCTGACGACCTTTGCTTGATTGCCCAGAGGTACACTGATATTCAGGCGAAACTAAGTTCTCTACAAAGAGAGGCTGAAGAGGATGGTCTTAAGATTTGGTGAGTCGCTGGCTCAGTTGGTAGCGTCGCGGACTTCGGGCCCAAGGCAGCAGTGTCGTGGGTTCGGATCCTGGTCACTGCCACAAACTTTTATCAGTACAGTTCACCTTTGTACTGTACCGGCTCACCTTCTTGCTTTGCTGGATACGTTCCACGCACAGATCTGTAGTCTGTGTGGACGGGCAAATGCAAGGTTAAAAGAGGCCGCCAACCTCTTAAAAAAAAAAAAAAAAAGATTAATGTAAATAAGACTAAGGAAATTCCAGAGTAGCCCAAGCCTTAGAACTAAATGGGAAGGTGATAGAGGTCAACTCTTTCCAATAACTCGGAAGTAAAGTCACAGCAGACGGAGGAGCAAAGGAAGATGTTGGGAGCCGCATTGGGAAAGCTAATGCAGCATTTATTCAGCTTTACCCAATATGGCGAAATAGTAATATTTCAATGAAAACCAAAATCTGCATCTTCAATACAAACGTCAAGTCTGTCCTTCTATATGCCAGTGAAACTTGGAAAATGGATCAGCGTAGTACTTCTCAGCTCCAGGTGTTTGTAAACAGGTGTCTCAGACGTATAATGAGAGTGTTCTGGCCAAACACTATATCAAATGAACAGCTTTCGGAGGTAACAGGGCAACAAAAGATCAGCCTAGAAATCAGAAGACGGAAGTGGAGGTGGCTGGGTCACACTCTTCGGAAGACGGATGGTTCAATTGAAAAGAAGGCCCTGGAATGGAATCCTCAAGGGATATAAATAAAGGTGTTAATCTGCATGTCTTTTTCATAGTTGTTGGTGTGTGTTATTTTCATAATGCGTTCATTCTGAAGTAAACATAAAATACAAGAAAATACTTCCATTGATATATAAACAAAACAGTTCAGTATGTTTTAATTAAAAAAAATATTTTGAAACCTGTGAGCCTGTGAGTTGGTATTAATCTTCCTTAAAAACATGTGTTGTTTATTATTGAATAATAACAAATGATTCTCATTCTACTTATAACATGGGCTTTGTTAAATAATAAAAATACTAATTTCTTTATCCAACTTTTATTGTTTTTATTTGGTTATGGGCCCAGAAAATATTAAAAGAATGGATTTAAGAGTGAATGTTGAAAAACTAAGTAATTCTCAATCATGGAGAAGGTGGAAAAGGTTTTGAGACATCATGGAATTAGTGATCTGATTACTGGTGAAAGGACAAGGCCTGAAGAAACAGAGGAGCAGAAGCTTAAGGATTTCAAGAAAGGTGACACCTTAGCTCAGGTACTTATTGTAAATGCTCTAGAGGATTCACTTGTACAATTAACAGCTACTTTTGATAGTGCACAGGAAATGTGGCAGAAGCTGTTGAGTAAATATGAACAATCATCAAGTCAGAGACTAGATAGAACAATGGAAGTGTTCTTTACATCTAGTATAACTGATGGAGAAGATTTGATCAAATATATCTCAAGATTACAGTTAAACTTCAGAGAAGTGAATGATGAACTTAAAAAGCATGAAGCTTCAGAACTGCTAGAACTTGTGTTGATGTCAAGGATTATGAGTACACTACCTAAAGAATTCTTTGAGTTCAAGAGTGTGTGGGAAAGCATACCAGTGAAAGACAGAAGTGTTGATTTGCTAATAGAGAGAATTCGTCTGATTGAGTCCAGGCTACCTAGGTCTATGAATTCTGATAATGGACAAGCCTTACAGGTTAGTAGAAATAGCACAAGTTCATTCTCAGAAGGCAAAAGGCATTCTGTAAAGAAGAAAATAAAGTGTTTTATTTGTAAGGGACCACACTATGCTAGTCAGTGTCCAAAGAAATCAGAAAAACAATACAAGAACAAGATTGAGCCTAGAAAAGGTAACAGTGGTCCATTTTTGTGTTTTGTAGCAAAGGAGCACAAGAAAGACAACTTTATTGCAGACTCTGGAGCATCGCAGCATATGTGTTTCCGGAGGGACTTCTTTCACACATATCAGAGATTTACTTCACCAATTAACGTCACTGTGGGAAATGGTGATGATATTGAGGCAGTTGGAGAGGGAAGTATTCGAATAAGTGTGAATATTGGTAAGAACCGATACATCACAACTTTAGAGAATGTGTGGTACATTCCCGAGCTAGGAAGGAACCTGATGTCAGTCAGCACAACAGTAAAGAAAGGATTTAGTTTCAAAGTAACTAAAGAAAAATGTGTCTTCATGAAGAATAACGTTGCACAGCTGTATGGACATTGTGTAAATGGACTCTATGAAGTTGAAATGGTCTCATCAAAATAAGACACATGTGTTAAAAACTCTTAAAAGCAGGGGAATACATGTCAAGGTAGAAGATGAATTTTGTGAAGGTTGCGTACTAGGCAAGCAACACAGAGCTACATACCATTCTCGAACTGTAAAGACAACAATGGCAGGAGAAATAGTAAGTGGAGATCTCTGTGGTCCTATGGAAAACATTTCTCTAGGACAAGTCGCTACTGCCTGGTTTTCAAGGACTACTTTACTAAATTCAGAAGAGTATTTTTCATCAAAAATAAGACGGAGGTTAGAGACTGTATTGTGACATACTTGAATGAATGTCAAACTGCTGGACATGTGGTAAAAATTTTTATGAGTGTTGGTGGGACTGAGTTTAATAATTTTTCAGTGAAGAAATTGCTCGCTAAACGAGGCATCACTATGAGAACTGTTATGCCCTATACACCAGGAGAAAATGGTTCTATTGAACGTGAAATGTGCACGTTAGTTGAATCAGCAAGAAGCATGTTGTATTCAAAAAGATTGCCAAAGAGCTTATGGGCAGAGGCAATGAACACGGCGTGTCATGTGATCAATCAAACAGGACCAACAAGTACAGAAGGTACACCTTATGAACTTTGGTATGGAAAAGGACCAGCACCAATTGAACATTTTCGACCGTTTAATACAGAATGCTATGTGCATGTCCCAAAACAGAAACGGAAGAAATGGTCAGCAAAACCAGTTCCAGGAAAATTGGTTGGGTATTGCGATGAACGAGATGGCTTTCGAGTCTACAACGGTCACACAATAGTGGTTAGTAGAGATGTTGTCTTTAAACCTTATCAGAAAGGAGACCTTATTCTGCCTTAAGGAACCTTATTCTGCTCTGGCAGAGGGCATCACAGAAGATTGGGGTAAGACTGTTCCTGATGAAGACAAAGAACTTGACAAAAACCGTATCCATTCCTATCCTATGCGAAGACAAGAGCCAGCCAATCAATTATCAAGAGGAAAATGAAGAAACTGAACCTGATGAAATTGAATATTGTGAACAATCGGAAGAGGAAGATCGACCTGATGAAAATGAGTATTGTGAACAACCGGAAGAAGAAGATCGACCGGGAAGGCAAAGGCAACCACCTAGTTATCTTCAAGATTATGTTCTTGTAGCTGAAGCTGGACCAACATATAATGAGGCCGTTAGTAGTGAAGAGTGGTTTCATTGGCAGGCAGCTATGAATGATGAGATGGCATCTCTTCAGAAACACCAAGTTTATAAGCTGGTACCGTTACCCAAGAACAAGAAAGCAATTGGGGTAAGATGGGTTCTTACAAAGAAGAAAAACCCAGATCGATACAAAGCTAGGCTTGTTGCAAAGGGCTACGCTCAGAAAGAAGGAGTAGATTATTTTAGTACCTACAGTCCTGTAGCAAGATTCGATACTCTAAGGACAGTATTAAATATAGCAGCACAGGAAAGCATGTTTTTGAAACAGTTTGATGTAAAAACAGCATTTTTACATTCAAAGCTAGATGAAGAGGTTTATGTCGAGCAACCTGAAGGTTATAACGACAACTCCCGAAGAGTGTGGAAACTACAAAGTAGTTTATACGGCCTTAAGCAAAGTCCTAAGTGTTGGAATAAAAGACTATCTGAGTTCATGAAATCTCAAAATTTCAAACCGAGTACAGCAGATCCTTGTTTGTTCCTTCGTGAAGAAAATGGCAAAAAGATGTTCGTCATCATATATGTGGATGATGGACTCATATGTGGTACTAGAGAGAGACAAGTGGATGTATTTGTGCAGAACTTGAAACAAAACTTCCAAATCAAAGTATCGAAACCTGAAACTTACCTTGGAATTGAGATTGTTCAAACAAGTGATGGAATAGTTCTCAGCCAGAGGGCATACTAAGATCAAGTTCTAGAAAGGTATCGGATGTCGAACTGTAACGCAGTGTCAACACCATTTGACAAATCCGATGTTAACACAAATGCAAAGCCTCTATCAACAGAAGTGCCGTATCGTGAAGCTGTGGGCAGTTTGCTATATTTGACAAACACTCGCCCAGACATCTGCTATGCAGTTAGTATGGTGGCACAGCATGTGACTAGTCCAACCATCAAAGACTGGAACCAAGTCGAGAGAATCCTTCGTTACCTGCAAGGTTCTAAGGACTACGTACTACACTACACGAAGCGGAGCGATGAACCGAAGATCCTGAAATGTTACACCGATGCAGACTTCGCAGGCGATGAAAACAGCAGAAAGTCACGTTCAGGATGTCTATGTCTGTTTGCTGGCGGAGCCATTAGTTGGTTTTCAAAGAAACAAAATTGTATTTCACTATCAACTACTGAAGCGGAATATGTTGCTGCTAGTGAAGCTGTAGTGAAGCAATATGGCCTAAAGGCTTGTTAGAAGAAATCAGTAGTTCTTCGATCGAAGCAACTATGTACATTGACAATGATGGTGCAGTACAATTAGCACACAATCCTTCAACGCATGGAAGAACGAAGCACATCAGTGTTCGGTTCCACTTTGTTAGAGAGCACTTCAACAAAGGATGTTACAAAATGGAACATGTACCTGGAAGACTTCAGTTGGCAGATTTCTTGACGAAGAGTTTACCTTCTAGTCGACTGAAGGAACTTTTGAACCTCTCAGGTTTGAGGGCAAATTAAAAATAATATTTTGAAACCTGTGAGCCTGTGAGTTGGTATTAATGTTCCCTAAAAACATGTGTTGTTTATTATTGAATAATAATACTAATTTCTGTATCCAACTTTTATTTTATTCATATTTGCAGTTAGAAACGCACCGACTTGAAATACGTGAGCTTGACTAATAAAAAAGTTTACTTTATTGAAATTATTTCATTCTTTTTAGAGCGTTTGAAGTCGGTTGTATTTTTTCACAAAAAATAAATTATTTCATGATTTATAGTGACTGTATAATTTGTTATATATATTAATTGCTTGAGGTTTTTTGATAAGCTAAACTGTTTGAAACAATCAAAAGTGCCAAAGAACAATCATTATTTTAAAATTGCTTGAGTCACCTGTTCAGGTTACATAATCAATGGGTATAAAAATTTACATTTATAAATTTTCAAAACAAAGAGCTGTCCATTACATTAGGCCTAATGAAAAACTAAATGTCTTTCCTAAAGACATTGAAATGCCAGACATCATCGTTTCCTGCAATTGGTGTACTTCTAGGCGTGTATGAGTACTCGAATCTTCGAGCTTTTTGGTTGAGCTTTTCATTATTCGGCTCGGCTCGAGGCATTTTGAAAAAGCTCGAAGTTCGAGCCAAGCTTTTGATACTAAGTCAAAACTAAAAAAAAAACACTTAATTTGGATCGTAATTGAAAACAATTTTATCACAATTCTACGTTGTTCATGCATACGAGGTTTGATAAGCAAGAACCGTAGCTCAGTCAAGACGCAATGATTATCGATTGTAATTTTGAGGAGATAGGAAAGAGACAACCTCCCGAAGGTATCCTTGCCTTGATGTGGCGGTGGGGCTTGCGTGCTCTGACAACCTCGAGAGCTATTCCGGCGGTAGCGTAGCTACTGGTAGGGCCTCCCTTGCCGGACAGGTCTTCGTGAGGTAGGAGCCAGACAAAAAAGGGATACCCTGGTCCTCCAGGTTGGGGTTTGAGCGTTGGGTTGACAACCCGCCTTGTAAAAAAGCCTTGTTACGAATCACCAACAAAGAACAGCCTCGGAAACTGGACAGAACAAACGGTTGAAGACCCGGATTCGCCCAAAACATCTTTGATTTGGTACGTGGAATATAAGGACACTAGCTATACCAGGAGCAAGTGATATTTTAGCAGAAGAACTTGATAAGTACAACATGGATGTGGTAGCACTCCAGGAAATTCGATGGCCTCTTGCAGGAAGAATAAATACAAATAAGTACTTAATTTACTATAGCGGCTGCGTAGATAATAGATACTATGGTGGTGTAGGTTTTGCAATAAATAAGAAACTATCAGAAGCTGTGATACATTTTGAGGCAATAAACGAAAGGTTGTGCAATATTAGGTTAAGGGAAAAATTTTATAATATATCTCTAGTCAGTATATACGCACCTACCGAAGACTCAGAGGATGAGGATAAAGACCAATTTTACACCCTATTAGATGAAGTGGTGGGAAAGTTACCAATCTTTGATCTAAAGATCGTCTTGGGGGACGCAAATGCCAAAGTAGGGAGAGAACAAATTTGGAAACCAGCCATTGGGAATGAGAGCCTACACCAAGAATCAAATGATAATGGAGCCCGTCTGGCAAGTTTTGCACTTGCAAATGATTACAAAATTTCCAGTACAATGTTCCCCAGAAGAGACATACACAAGTACACTTGGACATCACCAAATGGCGTGACCAAAAACCAGATTGGTCATGTACTTGTAGATCAACGACATAAAAGTTGCATTACAGATGTAAAGAGTATCAGAGGAGCAGAATGTGGGACTGATCACTGTCTAATCCTAGCCAAGGTAAACCAAAGAATAGCTGTTGAAATGAGGAAGGAAGAAATACAAGAAAGACGAATAGACACCGAAAATCTTAAGGTTAAACCGATAGCAGATGAGTTTAGAATAAAACTAGAGAATAGGATTAAGATTCTAGAAGACTTAAATAAAGATGAAGATGTCAACAGTACCTGGAATGATTTTAAAGAAGCAGTCCTAGATTCGTGGTTTGATCGAGAATGTGAGCAAATGTTGGAAGAAAGAATTAGGAGGAAAAATGTATGGATGAAAAGCAACAATGAAGAAGACAGGGTGATGTACAACCAGTCAAATAAGGAGACAAATAAATTCCTGAGGAGGAAAAAGCGACAGTTTATTAATAGTTTAATAGATAAGGCTGAAGAAGAAAACACAGCAAACAATGCAAAAGATTTTTACAGGAAAGTAAGATTTTTTAAAAAAGGATTCACCCCTCGTACATATGGAGTAAAGAATAAGGAGGGACAACTACTAACTGAAAGTGTCAAGGTACTTGAAAGGTGGCGCGAATATTTTGAGGAACTGCTGAATGTTGATGAAATCACCCCGACAGAAGAAGAAAATCAAAGCAATGCGGTCATTTACTTTTATGTTGAACCCTTTATCGACACACCAACAAAAGAAGAAGTACAATATACAATTAAGTACCTGAAAAATGACAAAGAAATGAAGAGATGAAATTACAGCAGATATATTAAAGAGAGGAGGAAACATAATAGCAGAAAAGCTGTGGAATTTAATTTCAAAAATATGGGAACAAGAAGAAATGCCAATGGAGTGGCAGGAAGCAGTCATTATCCCTATTCATAAAAAGGGTGAGCAAGAAGTTTGTGATAACTATAGGGGAATCTCAATGCTTAGTATCCCATATAAAGTTATCTCAAAAATTATTTTAAACCGTCTAGAACAATACTCACACGAGTTGATAGGTGAGCATCAAGCGGGGTTTATGAAGAGTAGATCGAAAACTGACCAAATATTTATCTTAAAAGAAATAGTAGCCAATTATTGGGAGTTCAATAAAGAATTGTATGCCTTATTTATTGACTTTCACAAGGCTTACGACAGCATAAGAAGGGACAAATTGTGGGCACAGCTAAGAAAATTCGGCATACCGAATAAAATTATAGCCTTAATTAAAATGAGTATTTTGGGATATAAATGTTCAGTTAGAATTGATGGCCACAACTGCAACCCCTTTGAAGTAAACTCTGGTGTCAGACAAGGAGGTGGGCTATCACCGATCCTATTTAATTTTGCCATTGAAGAAGCTCTACAGAAGGTGGCAGAGAAGAACATAGGAGTGAAAATAGGAACCAAAATAAACATCTTAGCCTTTCCAGATGATGTGGTTATAGTCACAGAAAAACTAGAAGATCTGAAGGCCTTAACCGAAGTATTTATGAAAGAAACAGAAAAAGTAGGCCTAAAAACAAACGATTCAAAAACTAAGTACATGCACTTTTCAAGAAACCTGGATAATACTGAAGAACCAATAGAAATTGATGGCCATACATTTGAAAAAGTCAACAGTTATAAATACCTAGGAGTAATTATATCTAATCAAAATACTGATGAACTAGAAATCCACAGCCTAATAAATTCAGCAAATAAATGTTTTCATGCTTGCAATAAATTACTTTCATCTAAATCTTTTTCCCGTAAAACAAAAATCAGGCTGTACAAAACAATAATTTGCCCAGTTCTCCTATATGGATCAGAAACCTGGAAATTAAATAAAAGAGATGAAAAGAAAATAATAGTATTCGAAAATAAAATTGTAAGGAAGATTTTTGGACCTATATTTGAGCAAGGAGAATGGAGAATAAGACACAATAGGGAATTAAGGCAACTGTATAATAGCACAGATGTAATTGGAGAAATCAAGTGCCGAAGAATCAGATGAGCTGGTCATATATTAAGAAGAGGTGAAGATTGTAGACTGGGAAGAGTTTTAAAGGGAAACACTACAGGAAGGCGACCTGGGGAAGACCTAAGCAGAGGTGGTGGAAGCAAGTGCAAGAAGATTTGGAGAGAATTTGGGCAACGGAGGATGATGCGAAAGACCGGTTAACTTGGCGAAGATTTGTTGGTGCGGCCAAATGTCACCTCCGATATAAATGGCCCTGGGAGTAAGTAAGTAAGGAAAGAGACAAACTACCACCTATCGCGTTGTCTTTCTAACACAGCTATTCGTATCGTAATATACAACGCAGTGCGAGTGCGTGATTGGCTCGTCGCTATGACGACACACGGTTGCCGTTACAACCTACAGTGCGCACTGAGCACTCAGGACTACAAACATGTCCTGCTGAGCACTGCCCCTTGTGTGGGAGGGGAGATTATACCAACAAACTATTTCAGGAATTCTATTTTGGGACGGATGAAAGATAAGGAAGAAAAAAAGTGGTCACGTGTGCAAATGTAGTGGACGACACAGGCTGTGAACGAGTATCGTAGTGTCGGTGTTTCTTGTTTGTTTACTTTTTCAGATTCCTTATCAAACGCCCCTATCTGCTATCTCTCTTTCTCTCTCTCTCTTTCTCTCTAACGGCTGACAACGAACTGCACTCACGGTCAAAGGAATTTACAAGGGTTGGAAGGGTAGCCCGCCTAAGCCATATGGAACTGCACTCACGGTCAAAAATCTGTCTTTCACGGCTGAACGCTTCGCTAGCCCCTTATAGTCATCTGTTTATTCCGTCCTCTGTCTTACTTTATCCAATACTTTATTTAATACACGTTTTAGTGTCTGTCCCAATAAATACAACAATAAATAACCTAACCTAACCTAACCTAACCTAACCTTTACAAAAGAAGCTTCATTATAATAAGAATATAGCCTATCATGTTATCGTAAATACTATGCTAGAATTTTCTGTGCACATATA